CAGCCATGGGAGCCGGGGACAGAGACCAGGAAGGACTGGAAGAAGAGGAAGAGGTTCATAACCTGCACTCTCTAGGTCTATCCTGAGCACTCAATGGGGCCCCGTAAGGCGGTGGGAGTAAATCCTCCTCTGACACCGAGGGGAGGACTTCAGGACCTGACGGGTTTTCGGTCTGGACTTTCTTCAGGGGAAGCAAAGTGGCTGACCCCTTGGGCCCTGATGGAGGGGGCAGCAGTAAGGGATGCAGCCAGTCAAGGGGGCAGTGACCAGATATCGCCAACCTAGGATGTAGGGGATCTGGTCAAGGTGCCCCGGTTCCCTGAAGATAACTCCTTCGATGCTGTAGATGAGGGACAGGTTAAAGGACCCTTCAGGCGGCCATTCAACTTCAAAGGAGGGCCATTCGATGGTGCAGAGGGTCTGGAGGCCGGTCAGCTTGACACAGAGTCCAGACATGTCTGAAGCCGCTCTTGTTTGTAATCCTGAAAATGACTAAGAGCTAGATCAATGGGAGTGGAAGATGATGAGACTTTCTGGCCCATCGTGGGATAAGCTTCAAGAAAAAAGAATATAAGGAGAGGAATGAGAATGAGAAGTAGGATGGAAAGTTGATAGATAAGACAGAGCTCCAAGCAGAAGGAGAGGACAGTATGAGATGGCGGGTCCCTAAAGGGAGAAATGAAAATCTCACAGTATGCAGAGTCAGCTGAGAAGGCTGCCCCTGTCCCTTTCTCAAAAAGATTTGGCCAGCCTGGATTCCACATCAGACTTGACCAGAATCTTGCGTCTGGCCTGCCCGGATTCCATGTCCAGCTGGGCCAAGACTCTGGGTCAGTCCTGCCTGGATTTCACATCAGGCTGGAGCACGACTCCTTATCAGAGGAGGAGTTGGGCGTCCCCCATTCTCCTCCAGCTCTGGGATCAATAGCGCATCTGCCTGATCTCCATTGAGCCCCAAGATGTCCAGACTACCAGAGAGAGAGAGAGAGACAGAGACAGACAGAGACAGAGAGAGAGAGAGAGACGAAAGCAGGCAGAACTTACCAAGGCCAGCTCTGGTAGCACTCCTGTGTGTCTGGGGTTTCTATTCTCAAATCCTGGAGTAGCCCTCAAAATGTTAGGGTTCGAGAATCAAAAATAATTCTCACAGATACCCAAAAAGATTATTTAAAAAGTTTATTTAAGAATTTAAAGGAAAAAAACAACAACCAAATGGCGGCTAGCCTGGCACAGACTACACAAGCCAAAGATGGAGTCTGGCCCCGAACAATAGCAGGCAGGGGCTTTTACTGGGCAACTTCACAGAAACCTGAGCGCGCCAAGCATCTTTAAAATAATTGGATGTCCCCATATCCTATGTATGGGGGAAGTCTTGATTGGTAGGGGCTGTATTCAGGGCATTGGGATGTGCTGACTGATATCTTTTAGGGCCAGAAGTTTTTGTTCCTATCTTATAAGGCTTTTACATGTCCAGGGCTTGTGTAATTTATAGCTTCCCAGGGGCAGGGGGGTAGCAACTGGAAAAATTTACAATATGCCTGAGCTTGTCTGGGCTTGTCTAAAGAAGCTAGCCAAAATGGCTCTTCAGGCACTGCACAATAACTTGAGCCAAATGAAAAAATAAAGTGTATTACACATAACTGAATGTAAAATACATCATTAATGCATTTTGTTTATAACTCCTCTGTGTTCCTATAGGACTTAAAAGGCCAGGCATGTTGGCACATGCCTTTAATCCCAGCACTCAGGAGGCACAGGCAAGCGGATCTCTGTGAGATTGAGGCCAGTCTGGTATACACAGCAGCAAGTATCAGGCCAGCTGGGGCTACAGCATGAGACCCTCTCTCAAAAAAAATTATTGTGATAATTTATTTATATTATGTGCATTCTTCTAAATATGTCTTGCATTTCATTTTAAGGAAGTTTAAAGTATATTCCTATGCACACACACAAGCCCGTGTACCCTCACACATGTGTCCCCACACATGAACACATACATGCATACAGACATACACAAAAGCTTTTTCGTTTCATTTACATATTAATTTGTGTATAGTCTACATTTACACAATATATGGTCTTCTTGTCCAAGAGTGGTTTATTACACAACTGAGGACCAGCTTCTCTTTGGATTAAATTATGATTTGTGGCATTGAAAGGATTATAAACCTTGAGCACAGAAAGTCCTAGGTCATTTCACCTTTTATTTGATGACCTCAATGTCTTTATCCTGGTCATGTGTGTAGCATGTGTAGTCAGAAGCAAGATGATTATCGTTGTACGTCCTGGATTCATCTCTGAGATGTTCATCTTCTCCATTAAAATTGCAACCACTGCCAAAAACATCACTAATCAACTGTGCAATGACTATTCTTAGTCCAGTCTTACTACTTATTTCTTGGTTGCGCTGGTACATAATTATAGAACATCCCAAAGGGGAAGCTCTGCCCCTGTAAAGAAACTGTAATTATTATCTAACAAGATGAAGATGTACAGAAATGTATTTCCCTTGAGAGTCACAGGTTGCCTTCCACCACGCCATCCATTCCAGTTTATGTCACTCTAAAGTTATGCTTCTTCAGCTGGTTTTCAATATGAAATATAAATATTTATGAAAGAGGTCCTGAAATGAATGTGAGAAGTAGGCTATGACTATAAAGCCTAATTTAAAAGTAATGGATATCAATGATAGGTAAGTTACAAAAGCTAAGGAAAACATTTAGAAAAATAATCTACTTTCTGGAAAAGTTAACAGCTATCACTAATGAGAGTTTACTGATTTTAAATATGAATCCCTAGGAAAAAAACTGTTGTAAGGAGAAAATAAAGTACATGGTTGTGATTCTGTACTGGAATGTCCTCTAGTGAAGATGAACAGGTAATTTGAATTTGTGTTTACATAGCTTTTATTTATTTCCAAGAGGCAGACTGCCTTGATTAATGGATACTTCTAAGGAAAATGACGGACTTGGTATCTCCTCTTCTGAGTATTGTGGATTGGTTTATTTTTGCGTTTGCTCTTGACCTTATCTTCATCTCTGTATCCTCTGTTTCAGGTAGTGTTCGAATACCGCGAGATTGATATTTATGTCACAGATTACCACATCCCGGAAACATTGCTGATCTTCACACTGTACGGCTGCTCTGCTATTCCCCTCACATACCTGATGAGCTTCCTGTTTTCTAGAAGCACCTCTGCATACATCAAACTTATCATGTTCAATTACATGTCTGGCATTTCCAGTATTGTGATCGACACTGCAATAAACAGCGGTAAGTATAAGGGCTTCACAAAATTTCCCCTTATCCAGTGATGGCAGCAAATGAGTGCAAAGTGATGGGAAAGATATGGACATTGGCAGACAATTAAGTTGGAGACTTTGGGAGAAAGTCTGTATTTGATGTAACTCAATAGCCTTACTTGAGTTTCTGTCTAGTGTTGTGCTTCACCTGGAGTCCTTGTATAAGGATGAGGAGACCTGGCCTGAGCTGCAGGTCCTTAGCAAGTCCCCACCCTCCTCTCTTCCAACAGCTTGAGACTTAAAGAATCTGTGGTAATTTCAGAGTTTCTGGTATTATGTTACAGTGCTTGATCCATTTGGAGTTGATTTTGGTGCAATGTGAGAGATGTGGATCCAGTTTTGTTCCTCTACATGTGGATAATCCAGTTTTCCTAGCTCCATTTATTGAAGATGCTGACGGTTTTTTCCCTCCAGTTTGTAGTTTTTTACATCTTTGTCAAAACAGAGGCTGCTGTTAGTAGCATGGGCATTCAAGCCCAATTTCAGAAAACTCAAGACTATTTGACCTGGATAGCTACTGAAAGAAAAATTTCCCTTAAGAATTTGTTGGTACTCAGACAAATCTATGTTTAAAAGTATAGCAATTATGTGAGCCCAAAAAATCTTGACTTGATAGTTTGTTTTAAATAATTTCAGTTGGCTATACTCCTAAGTGAGTGGCAAAAACATGCATAAATTCTCTGGCCTTTTGGTAGTCTCACTGTCAAATTTCATATGTAAGTTTGGGGGGCCTGGAGAGATAGCTCGGCTGTTAAGAACCTCTCTGTTTTTCCAGAGGCCCTGGGTTTGATTCCCAGCACCCACATGGCAGCTAACAACCTTCCACAACTCCAGTTTCAAGGGATCAAACACTCTCTTCTGGCCTCTACAAGGCAATACACACATGTAGTATACTTACAAACATGCAGGCAGAATACTCATACACATAAAATAAAAATAATAAAAATATTTCTTTAAAACTATGTTTTATGTTTACTTGTACTTATGTGTTCATGTGTGTGCCTGCTCATCTGTATGTGTACCACGTGCATGAGGGCCAGAAGATGGACATCTGATTCCCTGGAACTGGGGTTACAGGTGGTTGAGAGCTACCCAGTGTGGGTGCTGGGAAATTAACCTGGGTTCTCTGCAAGAGCAACAGGTGCTCTGAACTGCTGAACCATCTCTCTAATCCCAAAGAAGATACTGTAGTGTCAGAAGCAAGCCTGAATACACACCAAATTTGGAAAGGTTTAGAACAGAATATAATGTATATACTTTTATGTTTTAAAATATTTTATTTATTCTTTTTATTTTATGTATACGAGTGCTTTGCCTGCATGCATGTAAGTGGCACCATTATGTGCAGGCAATGCCCTGCAGATGCCAGAAGATGGTGTCAAATCCCCTGGAACTGGAGATATGGACAGTTGTTAGCCAACATGTGGGTGCTGGGACTCAAACCCAGGTCATCTGGAAGAACAGCAAGTGTGCTTAACTGCTGAGCCATCTCTCCAGCCCTCATGTATGTTTTTTTTCTTATTCATTACTATCATTTTAGTCTACAAATGAATATCACCTACTAATTATAGCCATTCTTTTTTTTTAGAAGAAGCATTTCATTACAACAGCATTGACATAGTTAACAGTTTCTAGAGCAAAGATACATCTCACTCAAAAGTGCCTAAAAAATTTTTAGGTTCGCTGTTGAATTAATATAGTTATACAATATTGAACTCAGTATAAGCCCTGTAAGACATAAAATTGAATGAGTTTTTAACCTTTAAAAAAGATCTCCATTTCATTATAGAATATATTGTTCCTTGCAGAAAGACTCATTGTTTTTGCTACTAACACTGAAATGTTGGCTCATGAATCGCTAATATGTATGTATCTGATTCTTACTAGTAATAATCGGTTGCACTTGGATCCTTGCTGCCTGTGCATGCCTATAAAGTCATTGGATAGATTTCAGTGGTAATGTTTACCACCTCCACTAATTAGCATTACATAAATTTCCATGCTTCCTCCTCAAATACAATACATTTTTAAAGATTTGTTGATTTGTGTGTGTGTGTGTGCATGCGTGTGTGCGTGTGTGCGTGTGTATCACACAGAACATCCCAAACTATCTTCTTCAACAATACACACACTTCCCAGATGGCACCCTCCCATAGCCTCCCTCCCCTCACTAGAGCCCTTATATACTCTGATATCCCTGCTACTGTCTGCTGTGTTGTCTGGACCCCCAGCCATTCCCCACTACTTGCCCTTCCAACATTTTTTTAATGCTTATGTATACATTTCTTTATTTTTTAGAAGAATTTCATTACAACAGCATTGACATATTCAATAACAATTTCCAGAGCTAAGATGCATCTCTTTCAAAATTGGCTGTAAATTTTTAGATTTACAGTTGAATTGTTGCAGTTATACAATATTGTACTCAATATAAACCCAATAAGACATAAAATTAAATTAAATGAGGTTTTAACCTTTAAAAAGATCTCCATTTCATTATTAAAATACATAGTTTCATACAGAAAAATTCATTTTTAATACGATTGACACTAAGATGCACATGCATTTCTAATCTCTATATATCTGATTATTATTAGTCATGGTTGGTTACTTTCTGAGCTCCTTGGGATCTGAGCATGGATATGAAGTAATCAGGTATATTTCAATGGTAATATTTTTCACATCTACTAATTATTAAGGAGAGAATTTTTATGCTTTGAAGAATTATTATTTTTTAATCATTTCTTTGTTTTACACCCACTTCCCAGATAGCACCCTTCCATAGCCTCCCTCCCCCCACTAGAGCCCTTATACTCTGATATCCCTGCTACTGTCCACTGTGTTGTTGCCCCCCCCACT